AGCCTTGAGACAACATGTTGGGAAAATAAAAATAGGCCAGTTTCTCTCTTTTGTTGTCTTTACTGAGCATTTCTGCTGATTTCCCAATCGATGGAGGTTAAAGAGTAAACTTCCTTTTCTGTTGCAATCAGGAGGAAACCAGCTCTTCTCTGTTACAGAATGTCGTCATGAAATCTGAAGTTCAAACCGTGCTGTGATCTTAAATCATGATTTTAAAACAAACAGCTTAATTTAGTTTGACTGGTTCAGGATGGATATGAAAGGGAAAACATAAAGAACCAAAGTGGACTAAGATCAGAGCCCAGCGGGACGCCACAGAGGAGTGGAGCAGCTGAGAAACGATCCGGTGAAGTGTTTTAAAAATGGTTCTCATGTTTCAGACGGCCCAGCAGGACGATTAGGCGTTTTCATGGATCTACTGGTTCTGGTTAATCACAGATGGTTCTGGTCTGCAGCCATGATGCAAAATAATTAAAGTAGAGCTGGAAAAATCAACGGAGTTTCTGTCTGACCCTGGATCCGACCCGGATCGAGAGAAACTGCAGGTTTCTCTGTTATATCAGGACACTGAATGGCACTATGCTTTCAGGCAAATAGTGACATTTTATAACATAATCAAGTAACTATGTTACCATCAGTTGTTTCAAAAATGCTATATGTTATATATTTTGTAATTTAACATCTTTTCCCTTTAAAGGAAAAACTTGCTGAAGGTCAAACTCTTCTTCATCCTATCATGAAGCAGCTCTCAGGTTTTAAAAAACATTTTCTGACTGTTTTACTCTCCACCACTTCCTGTTGTAATAAGCTGAGCCTGAATCTGTTTCTGACTGCAGTCCGGCTGGAGAACCTGAATAAATCTCAGGTTTCTCCGTTTTCTCCAGCCGGGGTCTAGACCTGCTTCCTCATCGACTCCAGGGCCTCTGACATCGACCACAGATCAACCTTCACTCTCTTTGCTCCCCGTTCTTCTTCCTCATTAGCTGCAGTTTCCCTTCCTGAATCCCTGCCCTCTGATTGGTTGAATTCAGGGTTGCTTTTACTGTTCCTTTGGCTTCTCTCTGCTGATTGGTCACAAATATTCAGGTGAAAATCTGCTTCCTGTGAGTGAAATGTTCCTCATCAATCAGGAATCAAGTCGTTCTGACCAGGTTTGGGTTTGTTTTGTGCATCGGTTGCTGCTGTGCGTCCTCACCTCATTGTTGCCGTAGGTAACGGTCAGATTGAACCCGAGCCGCGACGCAATGCGTTCCTGGTGCTTCAGATCCTTAAATGGTCGTCTGCTGTGATTGGCTGAGGTGTGGTATTCCAAATCTCTCCCAGAAAGAGTCTAAAAAGACCAAACAGAACAAAAAGCGGCTCGGTTTCATTAAGCATGCTGGTTCTGAACGGGTCCAGAACCAGCAGTGTAGGCTAACCAGGCGTCCTGGTCCAGTATTTTGGGTCGAGTTTCTGCCATGTTTCCGCAATAGTCTTTACAGGCAATAAAGAAAACTGTGCTAAAAACAAGAAGTGTAAGAAAAAAATGATGAAATTTAAAGAAAATAAATGTCTGAAACAATGAAAATGAGATTTTTTTTAAAATGAGGTTTTCAGTCCTCATTTAAAGAAACTGAGTTTTTAAGGTTTTCAGGGAGTTTTGTTTCAGAGCTGAGGAGCAGAGAAACAAAATGCTGGACAACCAAGCAGGAAGTCAATTTCATTCAGCACCTTTACCAGCCCAAACCAGACTGGGAACCGTCAGCAGACTGGTTTGGCTGGTTTTAATCACGAAGTAGTGAATTTGTTGCTAAGCTATCTCTTAGTGATGGCTCAGAATCTTTTCACTAAGGTTGAACATTAATTTAGAAGAAGCTGTAAGAGCAGGTGTTGCAGCTCACCTGGTTCTGAGTGAATCCAGAGTTGTGGGGAACAAACAGCGTGACGTCAGACTTCCTGTGAGCCAAATCGTCGAGGAGCTGCCGGCCCTCAGAGGACGAGCCGCCGTAGTCCAGCAGCAGCTACAAAAAACCATTTACTCAGAACCCAGAACATCCTCAAACAAAGACTGCAGGCTCTGCAGGCAGTTAGCAGGCTAAGTATTTCATTAGCAGGATAAACATTTAGCTCGCTAACTCAATGTTTAGCTTTTGACCTAAATACTTAGCTAAATATTTAGCTCACTAATTAAATATTTCGTAAAAAACTAACATTTATATATAAATGAGTAACAGTGGAAATATGACTTAGAAAAATTAACTCTCATTTATTCCTCTGATGAAAAACCCAAATTAATGCTAATGACATGTTGCAACGTGACGTCACGCTCACAAGATCCCCAAAAAGCTGCAGACTGACGATGATTAGATGGTTTCAGCTGTCGAGTTGACATAACGCGCTTAATATTAAAGGTACGTCTGATATACAAAAGAAAAAGGGACGCTGTGCTCTGCTGCCAATTGTCAACATTACGACAAGGTCAGGAAAAAGATTTCATTAAGAAAAAAGTGTTTCGGGTCAGTTAAAAAATAAAAGGCGACCCACACACCGACTGACAGATAATCAGTAGAGCAGATGTTTCAATCAATCACTGCTGTGGTCAGACGATCATTTATTAATAATCGCAAAATAAACATCAAGCCTGAAAACATAAAACTGTAACGGACTGAATGTTCTGTTCTTGGTGTGGGAAACGTTTGAGTGTTTTTTGGTGTTGAGTGCTAATAGTGGAACTGTTGTCAGTCAGTTGCTATAGTAACGTGCATAGCAAAGCCGACATAGAGAGCGAGGAAAAGGAGGAATATGAGTTGGAGTTATTATTCAACAGTTTTTCAGCAGTATTTTCCCTCTGCTGTGGCGCGATGCACTAAATTAATAATAGGTACATCTCCAGGTTTCATTTTATTAAGGGAACTGTTCCACCTTGCAGCTACGGATGGCTAGTGAAAAAAATCGTCTTTGTGCTCTCCAGCGCTGTGAGCATGTGAGAAATTTCCGGATGTGAACAGTAACATGCAACAAGTCTATAAAAGTTTGATTGTGTAACTCATAAACATCCACCACAAAGTCCTGCTTTAACCAGGATTTTAAAGTTACTTCAAACAGCAAAGAAATGTTTTAATCACGCTGCTGTCAGATTAAAATCTTGTAACTTTTCCCCTCAGAACCGGTCAGGCTGGGCAGAGTTTGGTGGATCTTAATGTTGGACCTGCGGCCGTAGCCTGGCAGGCAGCAGCCATGCAGACTCACCTGGTAGAAGATAGAGAAGTTGCTGGTTGCTGCCAGGACGCTGGTCAGGACCCCGTTGCAGAAGTCCCCGTCTCCAACGTAGCCGTCCGGACACGAGCAGGACACCTCTGCACGGAGACATGGACACCGCCATCAGGAGCTGCACTTCACAGCTGGAAGCTGCTTCTGATTGGACAGCAGCTGCCTTTCCATTAAAACATTTTCTTAAAACTTTGACTATATTCTGCTGATGTCAAAAAAGAAAACACAATTTCACAGTTGAGGTGTTTTCAATAAATAAATGTAATTAAATTCACGTGAATAAGTTTGTTCAAGTCATTGAAAATCATGATGTACACAGTTATGAGATAATATTCATAATCGAGTCATTGCGCTCATTATCAGCCAGTCAGAGGAGAGGTCAGCGTTGGAGCAACAAGCAACGAGCGGCTACGTATGCAGTGCTTTGGGGAAACACTCATGCAGAAAAGGACAGCGGCTGATTTTTAGACCTTTGCTGAGGTAGATAAAATCGGATCAGCTTCATTGATCTCCCAAAGGTAAGGAAATCGTTTCACCGCTAGTTTTCATTGCATTTCTGCAAAATACATCTGATTCGATTCAGGTGAAAAACCACCTCGTCCCAGCACTTAAGCTTTTTATCGCAAGTCTTTTTGAAATTTGTGTGTTTCCATTAAGCAAATTAATTTTTGTAATTCCAATTTGTGCAGTAATATGGTTAATGGACACGCTGTTCATTTCTGAACAGAAATTGCAGGTAGTTTGTCTGCCACAGTACCTCTGAGCCGGTAGCAGTAGGCGTCGTACTCGCTGCTCTGGTCCACCGGGTCTCTGTACATCACCAGGCCCACGTGGTTGTCGCCACATTTGTCTGAGGGGAAGCGGGTCGGGTAGCCCACCCTGCCTCCTGCTATCCAGCCGGCGACACACAGATGCATCCCGAGCTGCAGAGACCCGACAGGAAGGGTTAGGCTGCCAAACGTTACGCCCAGAGGAAAACAGAAACCCAACGGCTGCTTCAGCTCACATCACCTTCTTTACCTGTAATCGATTATTCTGACGATTAATCAGATAAAACTGGCTTCTTTCCTAAGATCACTTTCCTCCATGAACTCTGGAGAAACTCCCAGTCCTAGTCGGAAGCCAGAAGCTTTCGGTTCAGGTTTGTTTACCTGCTGAGCGTACCCCAGCTGCTGAAACGTGGCTAGCGTGGCGTCCTCAGCCTGGCAGGAGGCATCCGCCTGGCTGAAGTTCATCTTGTACTTTCCCTTTGGAGAGCGCAGGTGGAAGACTCCGGCTGTGTTGGCTAAGGAACAACCGAAGGTTAAATTCACCCTGAGAGCAGATAAACTGGAGGCTGCACAGGGGAAACGGCCTCTAACGAGCTCCAGGCTTAACAAGCTCAGCAATCAATCTACTGTCACCATGGTTACAGGGATGCTGTGAAGGCCAGCCGCTGTGGATTCAGTGGTTACCATGGAGACATCGATGGCTGCTGCTTTAATACTGCTGCTGGTGGCTCACAACTTTAAATAAGTTGCTATGGAAACTTGTATAAAAAAAAGATATTACAGCAGCGTCACCATGGTAACAGCTTTTGCCAAAATGTGCAGTGGCATTCTTAGAATGAGTACCATATTTTCCGCACTATAAGGCGCACCCTAAAAACCTTCAATTTCCTCAAAAGCCAACAGTGTGCCTTATATATGGACCAATATTGAGCCACAACAGGTCTAGCAACTACGGTAAGCAGCCGCCGACTTCATTTTCGCCCGTAGAAGAAGAAGCGCGCGGTGCATGCTGGGATAGTTGTCAGAACGCTGGTTTGTTAATAAAGTTTGACTGACCTATCTACCAACCGACCGTCTATAATCAGGTCGCCTGCAGGTCATTTAGCACCACGTTCTCCACCAACATGCTGTGGGCGAACGGAGAAGGGTGACCATCGTCGAGCCACGCCCCAGCCCAGTCGAGGAAGGTTCTCCTCGCCAACCGGAGTCGGACTGTTTCGTTGACATTCTTTATGTCCACCAAGTGGCTTTAGACATTCATCCGGGGTGCTTCGGCTAGAGTTACCAAGGGACCAGCCCTTATACATTTAAAGCCGGGGGGGGGAGGGGGGAGAGACGGAGACTGCGGCGGCAGCGTATCGGGTGGTCTGTGTTACCCAGAAAGCAGTTGGGCACAATATCGCAACACCAACACCGTGAGTGAAACAATGACTGGGGAAGCCTACTATATAATGTACTCGGGGACCACTTCTTTATTATTACACATCCACATTTGTAGAGTACGGAACAAATCGCGTCCCGTATCGGTTCAATATGAGACGAATGGCAACCCTAACTGAAGCGTCTATTCTATGTGCCTTATATATGAAAAAGGTTTTAAAATGGACCATTCATTGAAAGTGCGCCTTATAATCCGGTGCGTCTTATAGTGCGGAAAATACGGTACTACTTATTTATTGCCAAGGCAACATCAGCAGTTTAGTGTTTCAACAGCTTTCAGGAATGTTCGGGAACTGTCGGCTCCCTCTACAGATCGGTTATAGGAACTACATCAAACAGCTAAGCTAGCTGAGCGGCGGGACAGATGAGCTAAAGCTGCTGATGGTAGCTAAAGCTGCTGCTAGCTAGCGCTACTGTTCAATCAATCATTCAATCAAATTTTATTTGCATAGCACATTTCAGCAGTAAGGCATTTCAAAGTGCTTTACATCGTAACAAACACAAAGTCATGCAACATAGAATCAACAATGAAAACATTATATTACTGTTGTTAGCTGAGCGGTGAGTCAGATGTGCTACAGCTGCTTTAGCTGTAAGGAAACTGGGAACCATCAGACACAAACCAAAGACAGGAAACTGATGCGTTACCATGGTAATGGAGGTCCTTGCAAGTGGCCACTGGGTCGCAGCCTCCGTTTTCCTCCAGGCAGCGGTCAACAGGGAGCGTCACCTTCTCCAGACACTGGACTCCATTACCCACGTACCCTGGCAGGCACTCACACTCGCGCTCGTTCTGAGGGATGAAATCACAATGGAGTCGAGATCTGACCCTTATTTAGCAAACTGACATCTTGTTCACGAGCGCAGGGCGCGACTTTAGACCAGAGATGCACCGATCCACTTATTTCCCTTTCGAAACCAATACAATAGGTTTAGTATCGGCAGATATCGATCTGATTCAGAAAAACTATTCTGAATTAACTTCAAACATTTCTTTTTTTCAAACACAGACATAAATGTACTGAATTACAAATTTATTTTATAAGTCTGGACCAGAACAGCACATTTAATCCACCAACAGCTTCACAAGCTGATCAAACATGTAAAAATAACTTTAATTTGTTCTGTCAGTGTAATTAGCAGAATAACATCCAATATAAAATAAATAACAAAGAAACTGACAAAAACAAACAGGTTGACTTTCTTGGTCACCTTCCTAAATTAAGGACCTGGGTTATTTTTTGCCAAAAGATAATTTAGGGTAAAAAAAGAAAAATCACTTTTGATAAAAAATGACTTAGACCATTATTTTAGGAAAGTGGTGATATGTAAAAAAAATAATCCTAAAAAAAACCTTCTTTCAAATGGTTCAGAAAGTGCAATTAGGAATTCTAAATATAAAGTAAAATAAATAATAAAAAATCATGATGTCACAAATTGTAGGATTAGAGTGAATAGATCAAAATAACTGGCATCAGTCCTTTTTTCTACTATTGTGGTAGATACAGGTATTGATATTGGATCGGTGAGTCTCCATGGTTGTTTGAGAACGAGGAGCTTTTGGATCAGCTGGGTGAATTTTCGGGTTTTATTTAAACTATTCCTTCATTAAAAAATTATGTACAAAACATTTAATTTTAAGCCGTTTTCTGCCGACGACTCGATGAAAACTCACCGGTCCGGTGAACTTGCAGGAAGCGAAGTCACTGCAACCGCCGTTCTGCTGCTCAACACATCTGGAGACAGAAACAGCCGCTGGAGGCAACGTCATGGCAGGAGCTAACGGCGTGAATCTGGCAGCTCACCTGTTGATTGGCTGGCAGGAGAAGCCGTCTCCTTGGTAACCGCTGCGGCAGGTGCAGTTTACGATGAGCCCTGTCTGGGTGCAGTCTGCGTTGACGCCACAGCCGCCGTTGTATTCAGCGCAGAGGTTGGGAGCTGCAGCAGCACAGAGGAAACGTCACCTGATTGGCTCCCAGCTGGGACACCCTCCGCCCCCCCTCCTCCTCCAGGTATGGACGCCAGTGACTCAAATGATCCCATAGTTAAGTTTTGTTTGCTTGTGACTTTTTATCTAATTCAGTTATTTTTAATTCGTTTTTAGAGTGCTTTTTTCTGCTTTTTATTAGTTAAATATTTTTTAGTTTTGATTAATTATAGTAGCAGTTTTAGTTTTTTCATACTTTAGTAGTTAATTTTTCGGCGCAGAATTCAAAAAGGTCAAAGTATTGTATTTTGATTATATATACATAATGTGATGTGACCTTTCCTGTTTTATCCCGTTTTCTCTCCATGCCGTTGTTTTTTATTTTTAAACAATTGTGAGGCTGAAACCTTAAACTGCTGCTGCCTGCGCCAGTTACTCAACAGCTTGTTGCCAGGCAACCAAAGAGTGAATGAGTTGCCAGGTAACCAAAGAGTGAGTGAGTTGCTAGGTAGCCAAAGCGTGAGTGAGTTGATTCCAACTGTGCTTAGCTGGCATGAGAGGTTGAGTGGCTAAAGTCTTTTTTCTGCCTACATTTCCCAGAATGCTGTTCGGTTCTGGATTGGAGTTCAGTGAATAGTCTATATATTGATTATTCAGGTGTATTATCTATTTATGTTGCTCTTGCATGTATCGTGATATATACTGTTATTGATTTATTCTCCAGCCCTACATGGCACCATGCGGATTCTCTCCTCAGCTTGTTGAATATTAAATAAACCGAATGGAAATTAAACACAATTGAAAATGTCATTATTGATAAACAGTATATTTTTTGAGAGAATGATGGACAACTAGCAGACTTTCTTGACTTCCCAGTCTTAAAATTGGGCCTCTGTCTCTTTAAAAACTCCTGCTCTTTCTGAAGCTCCGCCTCTAGGAAGTCATAATGTTGCTCCTCTATTAATTTATACAAGCACCAAGAAGTAGCTCGCATAATGAGCTCAGGTGATGCGCAGATTCAACAGGCGTTTGCTAATATCTGCAGGCTAGTTCGTAGGGGAGGGCTCTGTGGGCGGAAACTCAGGAACTTGGAAACTGCAGCTCAGAGGTGGAGCTGCCATCCCTCCAGGTGTTTTTCACAGCTGAATGGTTGCTATGGAGATTAAAGGATTTCTCAAACATGCATGAAAGAATCAAGGCAACACTCCAGGTATGTTTTTGATGAGGCAGTAACAATACAATTTGATTTTGCATAACACTGCGCCTTTAATGAGGTGCTCAGCCGATTCAGTTGAGTTCACAACTCTACAGCTGCTAAAGCATGCGGCGATAGTGGAAAGGAACAGGAAGAAACCTCCAGCAGAACCAGAACCAACCGTCTCCCTCCTACAGGTATCTGCTTTATTATTTGTGGATGCTGAAGAACGGCTGGGTGCAGCTTGTTTCAGATTAGATTGTCACTCTGCATTGGCTTTGTCTGTTGCCATGGTTACTGTTGGTTTTCAACCAGCATCCATCACAGCACACACACTAACTGATGAGGAACTTTTTCTTCTTCATGATGTACAATATAATTAATAAACAGCAGAGCGTTTATTACATTCTCCTCGACTTTAAACACACCATCGACCTCTAACTGTCATGTTATTTACCTACAACCATCATGGCTGACTCAGTAATCTCTGAGATATCGGGACAGGAAGCAGGTGGTTGATTAGTGGCGGCGTGAGGAGAGGAAGCTGATCAACAAGCTGAAATAAACAGGAAGCCAAGGAGAGAACACTGAACTAAATTTAAATGCAAACTAAAATGACTCCAACAAAACATGACTTCAGTTGTTTCATGTCGCTTTGTGAGGAAGGAGGTTCTGTTCCTGCAAACGAGGCGGGTCGTTTATCAGAACCTGAGCCGGGTCAGGCTGGTACCCAGACATGTTACTCACGTTGAACCGGACTGCAGTCCGTCCCGTTGCCCTCAAACCCGGGTTCACACTCACACCGGTCTCCATACAGGCAGCGGGCCCGGGCGTGGCACCGCGAACACGGCCCGCCTGCAAACAGCCGCTCATCAGTTCAACTTCTTCAACACGTTCAAGACCACAAACATTTATGACTTAATGTTAATTCATGCATTTTAGATCACAGCACCCCTTTAAATAAAGCTGATTTGATGAAGTTCTGTCTCTTTCTGATGTCCCACTTCTTCTCCAGTCAAGTTAAAGGAGTGCAGAACATTTCAGCAGCAGGCAGTTCATAGGGATTTACAGCACAGAATTAACACAATAGTAAACATTACAGATTCAGACCGAATTTTTCACCGCTTTCATTCAAGTTAAGTCTGCAGCTGGACATCGGAAAAACAACCAGAAAAACATCTAGAAAGTAACAAATCCAGACTCTGGATCGTCTCCGGGAACGACGGCTCACCTTTAGGATCAGAGAGCGCGTACTGGCAGCGATCTCCTGTCCAGGTCAGAGGGCAGATACACCCACCGCTGCCGGCCACGCCGTCCATGCAGCGCCCGTTGACACACCTGCAGGCTGGGAAACACACACACACACACTGATCACATTGATCCAACACACACACGCAAACACACCTACAGGCTGCAGCCAGAAAGCATGCAGTAGATCTATAGAACTACAGTCTATAGTACAGCAATGCATTCTGGGTACTAAACAAACATCATGGGTGGAGAACATCACTACTATCCGTTTTGGGTTTGTTGTTACACAAGAATATTCTGGAAGAATATGACAAACTTTTTTCATCAAAATAAAAGGAAAACGTCTTTTAACAAATTAGACTGT